GGGGGAAGAGCGGGCAGATGACAGACGGCAGCGCCCCCGGTGGGGAGGCAGGTCGGTTTATGTGGGTAAACGTCTGTCAAGCCTTTTCCCTCAAGGAAAATAAAATGAAATTTATCTCTCCTTAATGGGACACATTCTGGGGGAAAGCTCGATGAAAAATGGTTGATTTTTTTCGACGACTTTTTTTATTACGTCGCGCGTCGGTCGCTCATTTAGGCATTTAATTATTTTGATTGTAAGTTTTCTTTATCAAATCTTTATGGAACTAGAGTATCAATGGGATGCGCAGACATAAATGAGTTTGGAGCTGGCAAGTGGGATTTTTCTTGCATGCTTATAGATTTTTCGACCCAACACGTTTGCCTTTCCATTCATTTTATTATCAAGCTCAGAACGTGTTATATGGAAGCAGTTTGATCAATTTATGAAATTACCATACTCACAATCATGTGGTGGTACTTTTTACGTGTGATTGTTTTCTTTTGAGGGTGGAACATATTGACAAACGAAATACTGTTTTAAACTGCAAAATATTACTTTCTAAAGGCTATTAAAATACAATTTTACTCAATATTTCTCGCAAATAGTAATTTATGCCAATGCCAGGAGAGAAACGTTAAGATGATTATCAGATCTTGCCACGACAGGACATAACTTCAGAACAAAACTTTGTAGAATTTGCAGATATCATGGTTACCTACAGAAATATACTTCGCTATTCTGATGAAGTAACTAACTTGCAATGACTCATGAACACTATATATAATTTGCAACCGTATTTTTTTCATTCCGTTTTTGAGGTGCTGAAGGAGCCGTAACATTAGCTCATGCACTGAATAGACGCCATTTGTTTCATGTAAAGATGTTTTAAAAACTGGAACGATTTGCTGGTTTACAGGTACGTCAAAATATTTGTTTAATTGCAAAATAATTCAAAATTCTACCCCCGAAAGTTAAAAGATTCAAGTAGTAAATTTGTAAATTTAGTCATAACACTAGTCATCTGTGTGTGTAATTTTGAAAACTTCAATAATTAATTTCACAAATTATAATAATAACAAATACATAATAATAATAATAATAATAATAATAATAATAATAATAATAATAATAATAATAATAATGACATATT